TTTTCATTATTTTTAGACTAATTGAATATGTAATAAGTTAATTAATCGAAGTTTATAAAATGTAAATTATATATATTATAATGCTATAATATAACTAAAAAGAATAATATTATTTTAATTCAAACTATATCAAAGATTGATATAGTTTAACTACCTACTGTCTGTTTTATATAGAGTTATCATGTTATACCATAAGTTATTGTTCGTACAGGCGTTTAGTATGTAAATGTTAACGGAGGTTGGGATGAGAAATGGCCCAAAAGACTATGATATAACCAGTTAAGGGGCTATTAGGCCAAACATACGGGCCGCAATCTGGGCCCAGCAATGAAGCATCGTGGGACGCCTCTTGCTTGTTTTGTCACCTAAGATTTTTTGTAGTCTTTAATGTCACTTTAATTTCAAACCTGATTGTTATCTAGTTTATATTTCATTTAATTAAGTGTACAATTTGTAGCCTTATAACGAGAACAAAATGCAATTCTTTTCTCTCATTCTATTTTATCTAATTATTCTTATGTTTATTTATCTTTATGCAACGATAAATTATATTCACTTATTATTTCAAGATCTTTCTACTTTGTTAAAATTTTTATAACAGACTTGGTATTTTTTAATTATATTTTAAATTTTATTATTACATAAAGGTATTATCCCCTTTATTTTGGCTTTATTCTATTTCTATCTTGATTCTATTCTATTTTTTCAATAACTGTTTTAATCTGATTTTTAGGATTTGAGATTTGAAATTGGAATTTTAATTGACAATATGTGAGTGTGTGTGTGGGAGGGAGGAGGGTGATAAAAGAAAGTGTGTTCCGCATTAATCCATCAATTGAAAGCCGTTGTGTTAAATAAATCGCGAAGGCGTTTATCGCCGATCAAGCGGCAGTCTATTTTCGAGGTAGAAATCCTTAGCGCCGCGTGCTGCTTTATCACCGTGAAACCGCAACTATGCGGCTTCGCGCGGATCACAATGCTTTATAATTAATAAATCACAGCGTGACTGAACTTTTATCGAAGGCCCCGACCACCTCGAAGGACGGTTATGAATGTCGCATTTTACAATGGCATTCGACAGGTAATCGCCATGACTGGTTCTTTGTTAGCAGGCTTGAGCGAGATAGTCGACCGATTGACAAGACGCGTCCACAAATTCGACGATATCTAGTAAAACCGAAAAATAGAAAATCATGATATCTTTGGAATTGCAGATATGTTAGATCTCATGTATATATGTATATATGTATTTTGCTGTAATTTTTAATATAAACATTCATATAAATTTGCACAAAGAATATTTAAATTGAAAGAGATTATACATTATTTTTTTAATTTTATTTTCTTTATATATATTTTACAGTTTATTTCTTACTCATTCAGGAATTTTGTTAAAGATTCCGCATTAATAAGTTGTATTGTTTTATGATCTGTGACTCTAAGAATGTTAAATGTGCTGTAAAATGCAATAACTGCAGCCCGTTGTGTGGTAAATAAAAAAGTTCAATGCTTCGAGGATGCAGGCAGACTACTGCCATATCACTGGCTGGATTGTTATGTCCGATAGAAAATAAATAAATGCTTGAAGTGTTCCTCGAATTATCATATATCGCATATTTATTTAATGATGTTGCTCTTAAGTTGGACAGTGCAACCTGAATTCGATCATTAATGTTGATTGCAGAATCATAATTAAAAATTTTCAATTTTTTCTTTATTGTGTTCACTTATTTTTGATTGAGACACAATTTTTTTTATTCTATCTTAAATTTTAACATTTATATAGTTACATTTGTTATTTATTATTTCGATCATTTTCTCTTTTTTATATCTTAAAAATTCATTATGTTATTTCTACATTGGTGTTGGTACGTTCGTTATTTTTTTCAGATTTTAATTTATTAAATAGGAGGAATTTATCTCTTTTATAAACTATTGAAAGACTTTAGGACTGCATTTGAATATTGCAAGTGAAAAAAGACTATGCCTGACATTCACAAAGGACGTTGATTGCTAGCGGGTTAATTACCGGACTTAATTGCTCAACGTAATTGGTTCTGCATTACAACGTATCGCACGTTATAAGACACTTCCAGTTCTCTCGGCTCCGTCGCAATTCGTCACAGTATTTTACGCGCGATCCGTCGCGCTAGTACAAAAAAAAAAAAAACTCGCGAGCGATTAGCGACGCGCAACTGGAAGGAGAAAGCGAAAAAGGGCGAATGGAAAAAACAAAAAGAAAAAGAGAATGCTGCTCTCAGGCAGTTCTCGTTCTTTTGCAACGTTGTACCGGGATGATAAAGGAAAAGCCACAAGTCTAATCTCGTAGGTAGAATTTTACGGCCCCATCCGTACCACAATTACAGTTCGTTGAACTGGGAGCGAAGGGCGCGCGAGAAAGGAAAAGGGGCACGTCGGGATTTCCGTCAGTCTATTTAACGCGCAGATAACGCCATTTTAAACAATGCTCCCGATTATCTAGATGAGATTCACCGGTAAAATGAGCGCGATAATGACTGATAACATAGTCAACGTGCGCCTCTGCTTTGTGTAGAAATCGTTTGCGTACACCGTCCTGGTTGCTTGTGAAAAGTTTCATTTTGAATGGTCCTCCTGCTATCTCCTGAGAAAGAGATACGAGAAGTTGTAATATTATTGTATCATATCTATAAAAATATAAAGATATCTGCGGAATAAAACAATATTACTGTTCGATGCTTTTAAGATAATCAAAATATGAGATACGTCTATGAAAAAAAAATTTATCTTATTATTTATATTACATTAATTTCAAACTGAAATTAAAATATTCCATTGCAAGTGAATATTTAAAAACGATGATAATAAGGCATATTTATAGTTATTATTTAATTCAAAAATTTTATTAAAATTTGCTTTTAATAAAGAATGCAAAAAGAAAAGTTTTTTGCAGATTTATTTTCAATAAAAATAAAAAATATTCAAAAATTTTACTAATAAAATGTCATTCTTTTCACAGCAAAATGTTGATTGAAAATAACAATACATAAATATTCAAAAAATTTTGTTTCTAAAATACTTTTCGATAAATCAGAGAAAGGCACCTCTTGTGTCTGTGTGTATTGTGTACGCTTATAAATAATTCAAACATTTCGTAACTATTACATAAACTTGTCTTATCATTTTTAAATCAGGCGCGTGCTTGGTAACGCGAATAATCACGGGTTAATCGCCGAATTATTGCTATAAATCCCGCGGGATGTTACGCAGCACGATGCGCAACCGGTGCGCGCACGGAGGGATGCGATGCGTGCGCTTCTCCTCCTCCTCGTCATCCTCCTCCTCCTCCCCCTCCTCCTCCTCCTCCTCCTCCTTCGCTCACTCGTGTGGTCCACCACCACACCATCCCGCGGACTTATATATTTCACGGAGAGTCTCCCACTTTTGCCACTATCATTTCTGTCGCGGCGGCGTTCGTACGCGCCACACACGCCCGGCAAGTCCGTCATCCTCATCCTGCCGAGTTCACGTGGAGACCGGAAGCTGCGATCCGTCTACGCGTACACGCGTCTTCGTGTGTCCTTTACGCGTATCCAACCCTCTACCCTTCCGTACCGTGCACTCCCTTATCGAAACCGTTCACAGTGATGCGTTTTTTTTTTTTTTTTTTTGACGCTATAAAGGGAGGATAATTGTGCACTTTTGAATTTGAAATCGAGATCGGCGACGTGTAGATCTTTTTGCACGCGGGGGTGCGCGAGGGTTTTATATGGGACATGTATGCCACGTGGATCGGGCCGGAAGATTCACCTGCTGCTGCCGCTACCGAGTGGGATTAGGCGAGCAGGCACGACGGTGAGTGACGAGCAATAATACAAAGCATTGTTCCGAAATTAAGGAGCACTATTTAGCCTAATCAGGGGATTTATATGTCCATTTATATTAGTAAAAAAATTTATTGATATATTTAATTAATTTAAAAAAAAATGCATTTAATATGAGAATTGTAAGATTGTGTAAAATATAAGCGAGAAATTGAAAAGAATGTACAATTGATTGGAAGGCATGAAAAATATCGGTTTTTTATGAAAATACACCAATCGGGAATAATATTAAAAGTACTAAATCTCATTTGTTGGAAAAAATGTTTTTTGCATAATTATCTAATATCGAAAAATATAAGCACCACATTAAAATATAACTTTGTAAATATAACATTTTTATTCTCGCTTTTCTTTCCCGGCAGAACAGTTTTATAATATTCTTTTTCAAGTATTTTACATATGTCATCATATTATTTTGCTTCTTGATACGGTTGGTATAATGGTCACGCTAATCTTATGTATGTGATCTTCGAACGTGTTCACGCGTTCAAAGATCGTCTGGCGAACAAAGAGTCGAAGACGCCAAGCACGTCGACGGAAAGGCGACTCCGAGGACACGAGACGTAGGAGGAATACTGGGACGAATTTACCGTGAATTTTTCGTAACGTAATTTATCATAGGGCCGTGTTTCTCTCTCCCTCTCTCTGTCTCTCTCTTTCGCGCGCGCGCGCACGTACTCGTATATTCTTCGCAGCTGTTCACACAAACGGATCGCACACGCTGTCTCGCGATCAGAAAACCGCGTAGACACCTCTTTATACCCGCCGAATAGCGACTTAATATATCAGTGCTGTAAATTTGTAAATTATGCCTTTATGACTCTTATCTGTCTGATCTTTCCGTAAGTGCTCTCTCGCGTATCGCGTATATAATCGCGGTATTCCCGATAAAAATAAAATAGCTAAAATAGAATCGAGATTACATATTGGAAAACATTCGAGAGTTATGAAAGTTGTACTTGCATATTTTCGTATATAAAGAAAGTAAACGTGGCGATAATTATATATTCCAGGACTTTGCTGTATTAAGAATTGAGATCAAAAGAACGAATACGAACGAATATAACCGAATATCAATGAAAAAAACGTTATATAATTAATAATTTTGTAAAAAATTATTTTATAAAAAGATAAAAGAGAAATAAATAATTAATACCTTTTTTCGCGCTTGTGTGCTGATATTTGTTTATGATCATTCGTACTTGTCTATTTGATCCGGATAGTTAACCAAAAAAATCTCTGATATATTTAATATAAATATTAATGTGTGTACTATATTACTGAATATGTATTTACGAAAGAAAAAGAGAGAGAGAGAGAAAAAAGACGCTAAATTCTACAGCGCGCTGATTCTTTTTTTACATCGCTTTGTTGTCATTCGCGAAGGTGAGACTCGAGCGGCAGGTAGGCAGCCCGAGACACTCTGTGTTGTCGCAGTACTCTATGGAACGCGGTCGCGAGAAGTACGTATATCAAGAGACGTGAAACGCAATTTTCTTGACAATTGACAATTATTAGTTTGTGCAATTAATTAATTTTCACGATTGACAACTCAAGAGCGTACCGAGGCGACGGCTATCTATCAAAGTATGTAAATACTTCGCGCGATTACATTTCAAGTATAAATTGAAGCGACAAAAGGCATACAAATTAAAAATTGTTTTATTCGGATCTTTATTTCTATTTCGTATCTTTTCCCCGCGCATTTGATTACCTCTCGCGACAAGCAAAATTATCACGGTTATTTGAGTAATGGTTGAGTTTAAGTAATGAAAAGATATGATATATATATATATATATCGATCATTTATTGATAATATGTGTGTATTTTGCGGCATTTTACATTGTAATCTACTATGCTTGGAATGTTAAATCTCAAATTTTCATTTTCCAGTAGTCGTTTAATTTATATACATGCTTGGTACTCGGAAGCATGTACTAAGTTATCGGAGTTATTCCAAATATGAAGAGTTGTATTCGTTTGTCTGTTGCAATCTTGAAACTGATACAATTTTTATATCAATAAATGTTATCTATTTTTCTAGCATAATTTAATTATAAATAATTATCATGCTTAATTTGCTGCAAAGTCATCGATTTTAATTATCAAATAACTTTGCTAATTAACTTTTAATAAAATAAATAATCGTATTATTATCGCATAAAAATAAGAAAATAAATAATTGTCATGCTTAATCAGTTCAGATATCATCAATTTTAAATTTATTGCGTCGTTAGACGTTTCTATTTATAATGTTTAAAGAAACGATTATATTATTGCATTGTGCAAAAAAAAAAAAAACGCGTTGAATATATTTAATCTTTTTATTCGGTATCTACATACATTTGCGACATGTGTTGAAATAATTACTGGATCATTCACGTTCTAAGCCATTAGTGTTTTCAGGCAAGTCGTAAAGCTTTAAGTGGAACTCGAACCGAATCTAATAAGCGCCAGCTCGGCGACGGATGGCGCATTAAAACTTGGTCACGACGTTTGGGCGAGAAAAAAAAAAACGGGAAGCTTAATCTTCTGAAAGTTAAGGCGATCGGTCTGCCCAAACGACGCCTCCTCTCTTTCGCGCATTGCCCTTCGCCGCCGTGACAAAACATCGTGATTTGTTGCGTGGCGCCCTTCGTACGCTCTCTATATCATTCGTCTGATAATGACCTTCGCCCTTCTTCTTTAATGCAGGATGGCCTGAGCCTCGGAGCAAATCTTCCATGGACCGTCCACGAAAATCGGAGGATGACTCGCTGCTGCCGTGCATCTTTCCAGGGTTCCCGCGTCGACGATGCCGCCGGCGATCAGTTGTGATCAGGATGGATCTGGGGTAAGTAGCACCATTATTCTAGTATTAGAACACATGCATGTTGTAGTAATAGAAGTAATATAACATCACAAATGTGCGAATAAAAATGCTATAAGATACGTATATTAAACTTAACGCAAAACAAAAACAACGAAATAGCAAGCAAAAGATATCGAAAATAGAACGATATAATATATGTATAACGTATTCAACTATCTGAATGTATAATTTGAAGCAGGCATGATTCATGTATGGATTTGAACTTTAAGTGGCATGAACTTAGCGTGTCAGAATTTATTGTTTTTTAACTCGATCATGTCAGAATTAAAAAATACAAGGGTCAGCAAAATATCCAAAATACGAAAAATATCCTGAACATGATAAGAAATATGTTAAGATTTCGTTTTCCGTTTTAAAGTGTCGGTTTATAGTTTTAAACTTTTCGAAAATAAAAGTGGATGTTTAAATTATTCAAGATATTCGCGTTGAACATATGTTCGAGCCAGACATCTTGTGTGGCATCGAGCTTCACCTTCGAATAACACGCATGCTTGAAATATAGCTCGAAAACGCGCTTTCTACGTGCAAAATATATGAAGCGCATTCGTGGTAGATACATTGAGAGTAACTCGTTGCACGCGAGTGAGTTACGATATAATTAGGCGCCGGTATGCAAAACGGGAGATACTCGATAAAACACTGATGAATTTATAAGTGCCGTTGAAGGTAGCGATTAAAAGCGAGATATTTATAGCATCTCTCATTTCTTAATCTTTAAATATTTGACAGAATTTCTACGCATACATTGTTAAAATAAATTTATATAACTAACATAAAACATTAAGATCCTGAAAAAATAATATGAAGAAGGTATGATTTCAAAAATTATAAAAATAAAAAATGTGGTATAAAAGGATATTTAAAAAATTTTTTTAAATTTATTTTTTGAGAATTTAGAAACAAGTCGTTTATTCTTACATTATAAAAATAATTTTGTAATAATTTTATTTTCTTTGAATTGAGAAGTTCTTATGAAATCGTAGAGTTAGAAGATAGAATCATCTAAAAATATTCCACGTAATATATTCGTAATGATGGTATGCAATCCGAGCCGCGGTGCATTTCGATCAATATTATACGGGGAGGGAGATAAAACATCGAACAAGCAAGAGAGCATTTATTTCTGGGAAAAATACAATCTTTCGATAACTCGTCATTTTAACGAGAGGAATATCTCTCTTTTCTCTCGTCGTTTCGCGCCGCGGATGTATGCCTGGTGGTTTATTTTAATACGCGGATATCTTATAATAATTCTCTTGATATGTGTACATTGCGCGCGCAAGCCCGGAAAACGGGACATCAATCGTCGTCCTCGTTACTTTCGATGCTTCGGGCAGATGGTTTCTTATTATTCGCGGCCGTCTCCCTTTATATCGTGTATATGCCAATGTCGGTGAATAATTACCGTTTTTCGATCAGGCAAGTGCATCATCGCGTTTCCGCGTCTTTCGAAAAAACGCGCAGCTCTGTTTCTCCCAATGGCGTTTTGTCTCTCGTTCGATTTTTCTCTCGAGACGTGCCTTCGCATGAAATCCATTTCTTATGCCTCAATTTTTATTCCGACGTTATCTACTAATTGAAAATTTGATATAAGAGAAATGTAAAATTTTAGAAAATAAAAATTCTAAGTAAAGCTTTGCATTTCTTTTAGAATAATATTGATTTACTTGAACAAATTACATAATACTTATCACAATTGTTTTTTTGTGCATCGCATAACTTGGCTTATGTCAAATTTTCACTGTCTATATTAAAGATAATTTATATTAAATCTGCAGTTATAGATAAATATGATTAAAACATGTACACTATATAATTATAGTCAAAACATGTGATATACAATTTAAAAGTTGATATGTTTCAGTCCTTATTTGAGGAGGAATGTTGTTTAGCATTTTTTTCTACAATTATTCTCTTTTTATCAAATCACGGAATTATTTTTTAATTTAGTTTTGTTCTGGAGACGGATTAAACATTTTAGAATTGTTAAAGTTCACTATTTTTTAGCACACGCTATTTTCGTGCATCAGAAACGGAAGAATGCGAATTTCTGAGAAATTCTCCGTTTTTTTATGTGAAATTTTTCTGCGATACAAAATGCTAATTATCCTTGTTTTAATTACACCGGAATAACTATAGCGCACAAAAATTTCCGCGGCGAGGTTATTAAATTTCAGCTTTAACAGTGAGAACGGACATAAAGCGTAGAAATGCGAAAAATTAGCCATGCCATATTGCGGTTATCTGCTATCTCGTGCAAGTATTTCGTTATACTGAGATAAAAGCACTTGCTTTTTCCAGCAACTTGATTTTTCAGAGAATACGTACATAATATTTTATAATACATTGCACGGATTTAATCGTACAAATAATATAATTCACGTTTTCAATTTTTCAAATATTAAATCATAATTTTCATAATTTTTTGAATTTAACACATCATATATTATAGTTTATGAACATATCCTTATTTTACCAAACATTTTCAATCGATAATTATAATTGAAAATTATATTCTTCAAACTTTTACAAATCACTACAATGTACGTGAGTCAGTTATCACATAACGTCGACAACATTAAAGTAAAAAAATATATTTTATATATGGACCCGTTTTTCGAGATGATCCGGAACCGCGGGGGGTTAAATCACTCGGCTACCTCGTGAAAGTGCTTTTATAGCGCTACAACGAATAAAATCATTCGGCGCGATTCAAGAGCTCGTACGTCGCTCGTCGACGTTGACGGCCGTGAAAGTACAATAACTCGTACATCACCTTACAACATTAATCCCGTGGTGACGAGGGGATGAATCCTCTCGACAAAAAAGAATTGATTTGAACAATAAGCAATCTGTAGCAAACCCGTATGGTAATTATGTTAAATCTGAACGCGCACATGTACGATTACTACTCTAATCCTCCTTCCGTGGATCACATATATATACATTACATATGTGATCCGGGACGAATATACAGAGCATTTCAAAATCTGCATATTTTCCTCATTTATTTATTTTCGAAAGAAAACTAAGAGATCCAGTTTTTATACAGCCAATTGAATAGTATACAGTTTAGCGAATAATATCTTTAATGATATAAGTAATTAATAAAAATGTGTTCCTCGGCTGATATCAAGTAAATATTAATTTAATAAAATTTTAATTTGAGATTTAATCATCAAGATACTTAAATTAGGCATGGAGATACCTCTCTCTCTTGGCACTTTGATCGAAAATTTTATACATGAAAAAACTTGATATCTCTGCAATATTCCACGTATTTACATACGGCATATGTAGTATGTCTAAACATGTACAGTACGGCGCAGAAATCTTTATTATTAGTGAGGTTTTTCTCTAATGAACTGTTACAGAGTTAACAGAAAAGAAAAAAAATTAAACCATACACACAAGTTTTTAACAGGTACTATATGACTACATGTATGTGATATAATATACAATTTATTCGTCATATTATATTTGTATAAAAAAAAATTTATAAATAATTAATTTTTA